TCCAATTACAGTATGCAATTTGAACTGATGGTGGTTATATCAAAAATATTGCTCCGTAATTTTCATTGATTGAGAGATTTTGAAAAATTGATCGATAACTTTCATACTCTTTTCTTTGATTTACAAATATACTACTTGTAGCTCCATCAGTTAAAATTTTTTTAAACTTAAAATGGAAATTAGTGAGAGAAAAATCATGCCCTTTCACAAGAATTTCCTGCAAGATTTTATTAACCTTCAACGTTTTCTTGCTCTCTATTTTTAAAAACAGTTTTAATTTATGGTACTTGACATTATTTTATTTGATATAATGTACCTTTATATACTCATAAATAATAAAGATATATTAAATGACATCAACTAGTGCTATCAAGGTATATTATTGATACAGGTGATAGTGATATAGATCTTTGAAATATTTCATATTGTTTCAGCCATTTTGTATTTCGCAATGCCCCATTATTATTGCTGTATTAAGATACAAAATAAATTATACTTCAAAGTTTCCTCTATGAGAGTTTATGTACAAAAATAGCACATGCTAAATATTCAAAGAAACATTTATATTAAAGTATTGAAAAAGTTAAAAACTGCAACGCAATATCAGATATAATAAATACTATGAGTTAATTTGTTTAAAAAAATGAATGATGAAAATACACAACACGATTAACATGCGGAGCACAAAAATAACATGCGTTGTAAGAGAATTTTTGATTTCAATATCATACACACAATATAAATTATCCTCACAGTCACTTAATACGTCACATAGTAGGTGCAAAACCTTTATATTAGGTTTTTACTTATTGCTTTTTAGCTAACAACACCTTAACATTAAATTATTGCTTGAGTTACACCTTAGGCAAACAATCTTTGTTACAATCAATCCTAAAAATATCGGAAAATGGCAACATATATTGTAATGCATATTTTCCTTAAATATGTCATAGATGAATTACACGTCATTCCGAGTCATATATCAGATGAATGCCAATTTTTACATTATATATCATACATCAATCAAATATCTAATATTTTTATTTGTTATGAATCTTTCACGTGCCATAATATGTTGATGTAAACATTGTTAAATAGTTCAATACATTTGAAGCAATACAATTAAGTAAACTAAAAGTCCCATATTATGTCACTTTTATTTTTTCATAAATATTTTAGGAGTAAAATATATTATAATAAAAAACAGGATATTTTGTTCCAAAAACATAGAGAGTATTTCAAATTTTACTAGCATGTATACAAGGTATCCCAGGATTATTGGAAAAAAACTTTTAGGGGAGGTAGGGAACAACGCAAGTATTCCGATTTGCATAACAACTCATAGTCGGAAACGTCTTCGTTCGCTGCTGGTGGTGTTCCCAAGAGCATTGCAGAAAACAACCCTGCATTGCCACCGTCGTTTGAGTTGCCATCGCCCTCTGCGGAGTAAGTAACGTTTTACAAACTACGAGCAGCCAGATATGCGCATGATGTACAGACTGACCAAGGGAAATACGCGAGCAGCAGAAACATTGTATTGCGAAAGGTGACAAGAGGCCATCACACTCTCTTGATTTGAGCAACATGGAATTCTTTTTTCGAGTTGCGCTGAAAAGTGCTGCGTACGCAACACTTGTGTATTCCGAAATGGTTGCGAGAATCGTCTGTGCTGCTAGGGATATCCAACAAAATCGAGGGATATTTGAGCGAGTCCGTCAATCCGTGGTCCGATGGTGTAACGCATGCATATCAATGATGGAAAATTTAACATCTTTTGCGACATTTTCTCATATGATCTACCACATTATATGTAATATATTTGACCAATAAATATTTCAGATGGTCTCAATCTTGTGTCTCTTTGTCTCTCGTACCTGCCCTACTACTTTCCCATGGCGACCTTGGGTACTATTCGATTCTGAATCCTTGTTACGCCTTAAAGTTTACCCCAATAATCCCGGAATACTCAGTATATACAAAATTAATCAGATATTTCCAGAACCTGTTAATAAACGGAATACCTTATGCTTTAGTTCTTATTTAAGAAATTTATGAAAAACATTCCTTACGTAAAACAATTTACGGTACCAAATACAATATTACTTTATTCTAATATTATATTTAATATTGCAATATTATATTAATCACTTTGAAATACTATTTCATATTGTAATATAAATTAGAATGAACTATCGCAATGATAAAAACGTATTTACAATAATTTCACCTACATTATAAATTTATTTATTACTTACGGCAAAAATGGTTAAAAATATTCTTATAAAATTGCCTTTATTCGAAGTTTCGAGGATTGATTGTAAGCTAAGCATCACCTCTTTTCTATACTACTCACTCTCATATTTATTTCACCAACTTACACATTATTGCTATGAACATAATTATTGCTCTATTTATTATTATTATTATTATTACTCACCACTCTATCTTGCAAAAAAAACAAGTTTCATCACAGACACAAGGAATCTGAGCAACAGACTTTTACAGTTTCAATATTTTTGTACAGACAAAAACGATTTTATTATGTACAGTTGATTAGAGAAAAGTTGATTGACTAGAAATGATTGCAACTCTCAAAACTTCAGTATAATTTCCCTAAATTTCTTCAATTTCGATATGTAGCAACAAAGAATCATAATTTAGTTTATTATTTGCAGGAAACACTTATTTTTTCCCCAATTGATTTAATTTAAATTATATATGAATATATCTAATCAGATGTATCTAAAACAGATACAGTAAATTAGGAATTTTTATTAATAATATATTTTAATGATCAATTTTATCTTTCGAGTCCTCATTTAAGCTAAAATCTAAATGCACAAGGATTTGTTTTAATTTTTAAAAACGAATATTTAATTCATACTTCATGTTGCTGGTTTTTAAAATTGCTATTACGCTTACCGTGCAATAAATGAATAAACATAAAAAACCGGGTTTTTTTTTACGTAAAACTATGTAAATAATTTAAAAAAATAATGCATTGTGTTTTTATTTAGAAAAAACACAATGTATTATTTTACCCATTTTCCATAACATATATTCAAAACCACATAGCATATTTTTATAACAATATTTATTAGCTAATAAATGCGAATATGAAGAAATAAAAATAAGAAATATAGTTATAAAAATCTAGAAAATTTAAAGGAGAAAATAATTGTGGCTTAATTTTTCACAACAGAAACTATGCATATAATTTAATTTTTATTTTTCTAAAATGTATTTTCCCCCCAATTTTCCATGTCGATTTTAATTAAATCATATCTAATATTCATATTCAAAGTCATATAATATATTTAAAAAAAAAACTCATTTATTAACTACGCAACATGAATATGAAAAAAAAAATCAATTCGCTTTTTTATTTGCTTCATACATTAATCATTATTTTTACAAAAATAATAAAAACTAGTTTAATTTTACGCTTAATTTTCACAACGCAATTAAAATATTGAAAAAAAAATAGATGCTAAGAGCTATTGTTATTTTTTTTAAAATTTAATAGCAATATGATTCATATCTTATGCATTAATCTGTTAAATCATAAAGTATATTTTTAGAACCTCATTTATTAGCTAATCGATGTGAAAATGAAAGGAAAAAAAACATATTTTAATGCTTGTAATTTTTCAAAAATATTAATCATACTTTGAAAAATTTAATAAATATAAGATTATAATTAATAAATATTTTTATATAAAACTATGTAACACACAAAATAAATGCTTGGAATGTACTAAGAAACACAAGCAATTATAGTAATAATTACATTAAAATACGATCACACGCATGACTCTTAATATAATCTAATGGACAATCACTTGCTATTTGACTTTCATTAACTGCGTTAAAATATTGTTAAATCCAATTAATATGTGAAAGAGGTATCCCGTTAGTTATTTATTCGCCAAACCAATTTTTAATGGAAAGTGTAATAAATTAAGTGCCAAACTGTGTCAAAGCCTTTTGTGTTTACGGCAACAGAGAAAACAAAAACAAAAAGAGAGACTAAAGCATGCCATATCGATTGGCGCATTGTCTTTGATATGATGGATCGGTTTTATGTTTATAAATCAACCACGGCGATCACGATGCGCATTTGTCATAGTTTGTCAAAAGCTTCCGATGTTTACCGGATTGTCAAAAGCTGATAATGCGCACGCAATAGCGAAAATTCTTTAACTTTGATACATTTTATGTATTAGTGTTTTATGGTTATCATAGATTTTAAAACAAAATATCGGGCAGTATAAAACAATAAGTCGCAGGTTTCTCTTAAATATAAATACTCTTCTGTAAAATTGGAAAAATGTCTTCATGACAAACAAGATTTTTTTTGAAGTAAATGAGTAATTTGTATAAATTATTCAAATTAATATGTTTTTATAATTATAAAGTGATCAGAAAAATAATACCATAATTATCAAAAATAAATTTTAAAATAATTTGAGAGAGACTGAAAATTTGCGTGTTTGGAACAGAAATATACAAGCAACAAAAACTTTTTAAGGCAAAATATATCACGCATTTAACTTACTGCACAAACTTAACAAAGGTATACTTTTCTTAAATTATAGTAATAATTTTGAGGTATAAATGATAAACATTGAATATGACTAGATATTTTAAACGCATTTAGCCGAAAGCGTTAAACGTGTATGTAAATAAATAAAACTACATGCTATAAAGTAAATAATAAAATCAATGAAAAAAATCTAAACATATCTTTGAGATATACATAAAACTCATATTCTTAACATTTAAGTCATATATGCTATAACAAATCAATGTAAACAAACATAAATTAGGTTCATAAAATACTCGTTTGTCTTGCAATATTAATTAGTTAATTCAATTTTTAAAATAAAGGCCAAAAATATATGAAGGTAATTAAACTTATGAAAATATAAGTAAAAGTCTATAAACTTTATTACTTTCAAGAAATAGTTTTAATAAATTATTTTAATCATGGACACAAATTTCCTTAAATTTGTTTAAATAAACATTCTATTCATATATATTTTTTATTTTATTGAATGTTACTATAATCAAACTATTCGCATGAAATTAGTTATTGCTGATTAACGTTTTGCAATCGGTCTTTAACTTACCGGTTTAAATTTCTCAAGAGTTTCTGTTTATAGAGAGAGTAGTTATAAACAATAAAAAATAAAATTATCCTCATTATGGCTGTTGCACTATAGATAAATGATTGATTTTATACTTTCATTAACATGTGATAGACTAATTAAGTACTAAGGAATATATCTGTACACCATACCATTCATCGGCAATCGACGATTCATTTTGTTACAAAACATAGAAAGAAGTCTGTATCTGAAAGCACAACTACATTCTATTCGTTACTCGAATTTGTGGGAAGGTCAAAAAAGAAAAAGAATATAGATACGCAACGCTAATGGAACTTTATCACTTGCACTGCAGCTACTGATACTTGAAGTATGTATCTTATGCGGGACTACCTTCAAGTGCACCGGTATCAAGCCTTGATATCATGGACTACAGCGTCTCCGTGGGCGTATCTGGAACTTCAGATTCATCATCTCCTTCAACATCGTCATCCGCCACTTCAACCAAACCCTCCATACGATAACAGGAGGATTCGAAATGTTTATTGAGGTAAGATTTGAGAGCAAACGACTTGTTGCACTTGTGGCACCGATAGTGCTTGAAAGAAGAGTGCGTCTGCATGTGCGCACGCAAGTTAGATCTGTCCGCGAAGGCCTTACCACAGTGGGCACATCCAAAAGGTTTTTCACCAGTATGTGACCGCATATGCCCCTGTAATAGCCAAGGCCTAGAGAATGCTTTCCCACATACGTTGCACTTATGGCTCAGCGAGTGAGTGAGCACATGCATGGATAATGCAGGCATGCTGACGTACACTTTGCCGCAAGTTGGGCACTTCTTGGCTAATTGCGAGTCCGGGCTTCTGTGCGTCTGCTTATGTCTAGAAAGATTGGAAGATGTAGCGTACTGCTTGCCACATTCGGAGCACGTATAGCGAGATCTGTCTCTTCTGGGAGCAGCAGGGTCTTTTCTCCTGCGTGCCCTCCCGTCACCTATAACTAGGAAGGAAGTAGCTTCACCTCTACCTCCGGAACAGGAAGAATTGGAAACATGGGAGCCACAGCCTGTACTGTTGTTGGACTCGTCGGAAGAACTCGTGGAAGATTCGCCACCAGAAGCATTGCTCTGTTTTTTGAAGGAATCCGAAGAGCAGCTACCTTCTTGATCTTCTTCGTCATCTTCGTCGAAGGCGATCCATGGTGTGTCAGTCTTCGGGTGATGATGATGAAAGTGATGATGGTTACAGGTATCGACAACTGCTGTTGTATCTGGAGCTGGGTCTGTTATGTAACCATCTGTTGTGTGTACGTCGTAAATGTATCCTGTAAAGTAAAAAGTATATATTTTATCATCGTTTCGAAAAAAAATTGTAGAAAGTAAAACGATAATCACTATTATTGAGATATCATATTACAGAAAGCCAAAATAATAATTAAAAAATACATAACACTGAGATAATTGAATGTAAAATAAGAGTCAAAACCGTCTAATCCACTGATAATAGAGCAACCAACAATAACTTTAAAAAATAGAATAAACACAAGATTAGATGTATTTTTTTCTTTCCGTACTTTCTATTCATTTTGAGTAAAATAAAGTTTTCTTAAATTTTCGGAAATTCTTTAATGCGACACTATAGGTTTTTGCAAATATATATCACCTTAAATCACCAGCTTTTCAAAAACATAGGAAATATTCTTTTATATATGTCTAAGACTTTTGCACAATTATTTCAAAACTGGGTTATAATCTTTTGCTAAAATATTTTATACTTTGGTGTTAATAAAATAGCGTCATTATCAATATTTGGAGTAAAATGCTTTGCTTAGATAAAATATGGAATTATTCTTATTTATCTGTTTAATTTTTGAGTCTCGGTAATTTTTAAAACATAATTATAAGCATAATTATTTGTCCCAGTCTTAAACTATTAAAATTTAAATACTGCTTGTTATGTATTTTAAAATTTATTTTTTAGAATTACAAACATTACAATACAACAAAAGGAACTGCTAGATAATTTTTTTGCTTTATTAAAACTTATTTCCAGTTAAAAAATACAAAACTATACATATTTTTTACTGCATTTTTTATATTATTAATTACTTTATTCTGTTTCTAAAGAAATTTCTCAAAGTAAAGCGAAACATTTATACTATCCGAAATGAAAGAAATTAAATATTAATATGCAAAAGGTTGAACAAAAAAATTGATTAATGTATCATCTTCGAGAAAAAGTGTGCGACTTATTGGGTATTGCTGTTCGAATAGAGTGGGGGGAAAAAGAATAGCATGTATTCTTGGAAAAAATCATTAACTTTTCTACCCGAAGAATCGATTTCCTCCAATCTTTCCACTTCTATTTTTTTTCTACAATCAGATTAATTTCTTTATTTCGATTTCACTTCGTTGGTGGGGCAAGGTAAAGGAAAGAGAAACTAAGCAAAAATTAAGCAGAGCCAGCTCGTTTACTCATCGGCACCGTTTCCTCCGTCATCATTTTCTTTTTTCGCCAAGTAAACCCGCCAATACTTTTTTTTTTTTTTTTTTGCAAACGATTTTCCGTTCTTCATTTTTCTCAAAAACGAAGAAGTAAGAAGTGTTATCATTTTAAAAAATCTCCGTTTATTAGATTGCAAGGAGTCTTCAATTGAAAATCGTTATGAATGTCATTAGTGGAGAGAAAAATTGGATTTTTTTTTCTACTCCACCCAACTTCTAAGCCTGTTGATGCAGAATCTAGAAACTGTTGCCATTTCCAGAAGTTGATATTTCATTTTTTTTTTATCGTCTGCACCATTCTTGTGAGAATGATTCGCCTTATTGCATTCTATTCTTAAAATATTCTGTATAATTTTTTCCCTCTAAATTTCTAAGTATTCTTTTTTTTTTTTTTTTTTNTTTTTTTTTTTGATCGTTTGTCTTTTATCTTTCATTTTTCATGAACATTCCTTTCTCGAACAATTTTTTTTCCCTAGCTCTACTTAATCACATCTGCTGACGATTTTCATTTGCGACGCTAGCAGTTTAACGAGCATCAGGAAGAGAAGAAAAAGATTTTTAAAAAAAATTGCAAAAAAGTATATTCTTTTCTTTTTTGAATACAAATAGAAAACAATACAATCTCTCGCGTTCTCTCTCTCTTATTTCTGTCGCACATGTTCAAAAAGAATATAAAAAAAGGGGTAAAAAAATATTGACAGAATGGATGCAAAACCCAGTTAAAGTCGAATGTTTTCATTGGGCTCGTGCAAATATTTGGAAAGTGGTTGGCTGTCTTTTATATGAGAAGAGGTGTAAAAACAGAAGGAAATGAATGGATGAAATGGCATTCCAAATTTACGAGCGCCGAATAAATAAAGAAAAAAAATAATTTTCAAGTGGAAATAAAGCCAATTTTTATAAGAAGACGTCGTGTTTTCCCATCTTACGCTTTTATTATTTTTATTTTTTTAATACTGGGCTCCAAGCTCTCCATTTATTAAAATAGAACACTATTTTCCAAGAGATTGCAAAAACTTAAAAAAAAAAGAAGAAAGAAAGATTTTTGCCGGAAACATTTAAAAAAAAAAGACTTAAAAAAATTAAATAGTTGTTTTAGAATAAATGAAAATAGTAAATTGTATCAAAATAATTGAAAGACGGAAATTTTAAACATATTTTTCATTTATATTTGATGCAGTTATCAGCAAGTAGAAAATTTGCTAACATTAAAAACAAATTGATTTTTTAAGCATTGATCGTTAAATAAAACAAAATAATTATCATTATGCTGGGAAACTGGAGCAATTTGCTGTTTGTCAAGATTGTTGGAATATACATTTTGGCTCAATGAAAATTCTCCAACTCCAACTAAGCTCCAAGATTCAAATTTCTAGCTAAACCAACGGTTCTCTGTGGTTTAATTATTTCTCTATAATTTAGATAAGATAAGTATCTGATCTTAAAGGTTTGCAAAACCCGGGTGTTCGGGACTCTGCATAAACTTAGTTACCTGACCGGTTCCTGGTTCAAAGTCATATTTTGATTTATTTACAGGTCATATATAATAACATTTATGCAATTCAATGTGGAAAATGTATAATTTTCTATTTAAGAAAACCATTTTACAAAATGAGGCTTCAAGAAAATCTTTATTGCACTCCTATATAAATAAAAAACTGCTTTATTTTTAGATTTTTTAAAACTTAATTATAAAAAGCATCCAAATTAAATATTTTGCAATTTTAAATTTTATAACTATCGTTGAACAGTCGACCCAATTTCGGGTTTACAACTACTAACATTCAACTCCATAGCCTTGTAATTTTGAACCCAATCCAGAAGATAAGGGAACTTCTGCATCAAGTATTGGGAGAATTTTGACTTCATGGAGGAGAGAAAAACTACAAAACCACATACTGTTTGCCTGACGGAAAGAGGACTTTAACTCAGGGTCCATTCACCCTTGACGATAGTTTAAGTCAGTACTGAGGCCGGTGCGAGCTGGGTGCGGAATTCGTACCGACAAGCCATCAGTGGATTTTGAATCCGGTTCATCTCATTGGAAGGCGTAAGCTCTATCACATGATATCCAGTACCAGATAGAATTTTAACTGGCACTGGATATCTGGTTAAATTACCCGGGTTAGGGTTCCTAGTACAGATTCTTGATACTGAGAACCGCGGTATCAGGTAGGAAAATTATTTATCGGTCCGGGTAAGGTATGACCGAGTGCGCTGAGAACTGGATAATTGCCGCTTACCTGATACATCCCTAGTTTAGATGTCGATTTTTTCGCGTTTTAAGAAAACAGGATAATACTGCCCCAAATGGATTTAAAGTATATTATATTCAGGTGGCTTTGAAACGTAAAAATATTAAAACGGATTCATAAATTTTCAGATATTTTATTTATTTTTCGTTAATATTAAAACTAGTTTCATTTTAATTTACTTTAAAGAAAAAACACGTGTACAAACATATTGGATTCCAAGCACATTAACGACTTCAACTCTCCAGAATTGAAAGGGTTGAGGTAATATAAAGATAAGCCACATTTTATTCAGAGTCGATGGTTTTAATTCTAACTGCTTATTAGCATTGTTTCTAGATAAGTACTTTACATATTTCATGCGTATCCTATTAACAAAGCAAGATAAACATTTAAAACATCGCATTGTGGCTTATCGTTTTATTGTCACAAGTTTTTGAGATTAAAATTTTAAATGATTTTAAATTGCTTCGATTGAGTTGGATATAATTTAAATAATGAAAATAAATTATAATATTTAACTAGCGAGGATTTAAGTATGTAGTATATAGAGTTAATATCACTATTATATTTGTATTTTTGTGTATATCTTACTCAGTGAATAGTTACTAGATATTTTATCCACAAAGTTTAATAAAGTTTAAAAAAAATAATCACCATATAACACTGAAATTTTTTTTATTGCTTTACTTGGTTAGCAAACCAATACCTGGTCACAATACTATAATTTAGAAAGAAAAATTCTATCGAGGTTCAGGTAGTTTTAGGTAGTCAATATTCAATAAATAGGTTCTTTTACTTATTTTCTTTAACTCTAAGTAAAGGGAGAAATAATTATGAAAAAATAACAAGTCTCATATTTCCTATTCAATTTAAGAATGTGTTTTTATGTGCTTTTGTTTTTTCAAAATGAAAAAGAAAAGTGAAATCTTTTTTAAATTTTAAAGTACGGATTTAGAATTTTTAAACATTTCTGATATCATATCTATATGTTAGAGTTTTTATTTTTATTTCTAATGTCTACATTTTCGTAATATCAGAAAAAATACTATCTCCTCCTGTATTGCTGGAGCATTATTTACGTCTATGTTTTTAATTTAGTTCACAAATATTGCATACAACACTAAGATTTTCATACTGTAAGATTTTTTTAAAAATTTTTAAACTTAATTTTTTCTTAATTTTACACATGGCTTATCATACTTTCATAGTAGTTTCTTAATGATATACACATAACAACTTTCCAACCAACTCAATATTTTATAACTAGGGCTGAAAATCCCCCTCATCTTTATTGTAGTTTACGACCTTCAATGTCTAACTCCGTATTCTTGTAATTTTGCGCCTAATCGAGAAAACTGTGGAACTCCTGGTTCAAGCATTAGGACAAACTTACTTTGGAGGATTTTTTAATGGGATTAACCAACCTCAACGTTACGTTAAGGAGAAAAGCCCGAAAACCAACGAGGCTTAATCCGATGGCGGAAAATTCTTACCCTTGGTTCGTCGACTACTGAGGATAGTTAACACTAGCATTGTGGTTGAGACAAACCGGGAGAAGAATTCGC